GACTATTTGGAGGTGTCCACCTGCACCCAAATAAAGAAGCAAACCAATCCCAAATATTTTTTGGCAAGACACAAGATATTAGTAAGTGGTACCCAGACTCACCAGCAGCTTTGYATAAAACACACCAGTGTGGAGAYAAACAGCTATTGGGTCTTTTTCTTTGAAGTAGGTCACCTGTGTTGATTCTTTCAAGGAAAATTTCCCAACAAAAGCTCCCAACCCTCGGAGGTATAGGTTTACACCACACTTCCTTGACAGGGAATGACAGACCAAAAGGAATTTCTGGTTGTATCAGGACTTTAAAGAAGGATGCACAAGTGAAGGATCCAGAGGGAGACAAAGACCAGATCCTACTATCTGTCTTTGTGGGTTCCAAGAAGATCCCCTCAAGAATGGACAAAAGAGATCCTACTATCTGGTTGTATCAGGACTGAGCACCATTGGGTTACGGTTGTGTTTTGAGATCCGTTGCCTCTTTTGAGTGCTAATCTAGCCTTGCCTCTGGATCCCCACCCATTTCCTATGACCCACATGTTCCTCCACTTCTCCTTCAGAGATGCACATTTGAATTTAGAGCCAACACACCACTGAATTCTGTATCTTTCAGTATTGTGCACCATTTGCCTGCTCTATGTTTCTTGATCCTTAAAGAGAAGTTTCTTCTTATTAAGTCTACTTCTGCTCTGGAGCACCCATCAAGGAAAGCCCTAAAATCTTATAAGGTCCACCCACTAACAGATTGAATGGTCAATAATAGTTCGGTTTCTGTTTGTTTGGTTACTTGTGAAAATTTGAAAGAAAATGAAGGATAAAACAGTCACAAGGTATGTTTAAGTCCATTTTAAAACATCGGGATATGTTTAAGTCAATTGCTAAAAACTTAGGGTATGTTTAAGTCTTTTACCCTAGTCAAAATTCATATTTGTGCATCAGCAGAAGTTATGATTCATGCCAATTCAATGTTCTTGAGTCAAGATTCACTTTGATTGTAATATTCTCCAGCATAAAAAATTTTTTGCAAACATCATCTTTTATTTCTTGCTGTCAATACTTGTCATGTTTTTTCCTTGGAAAAAGGAAAATAGGATTCTTTACTCATTTTCTTATTTACTTTTGGCAGCCAAATAAAAGATTCTCGGATGAGTTCGAAGGTGCATTGCTGGAAAGTCCCCAAGTTTCCTCTTAGGAAGGTAACGGCGTAAACCTTTATAACTGAAGTCAGAATGTCGTTAAGGCAGAATGAGCATTTTTCTTAATACACAAAAGCACTATGCGCTGCTGTTTCAGGCTTCTCTACCATGTACCACAGCGAAGTAATTTTGTAAAAAGCCGGTGTCTGCAAACGCTCGTCTGCTTATGGAGGATGTGAGGTGCAATAATTGCCTCTCAGATATTGTAAGCATATCATTGACTTCCGTGTCGTGTGCATCTCCCAAAAAAAAATTATGTATTCATTTTGGGCCCATCAAAAAGGGGATTTACCATAACCAATAGAAGGCTGAATGATATATCATCTTGGTATTTTGAGAGGCTCCAGAAGTCTGGCTTTGTTAACTTGGTTTGATGACTTTGATCTTCTTCCCAAGGAAAACAGCAGAATACCGATGAAAATTACTGATTTTCGTACTTTTTGAATGCCATATGCCTTATAGGAGCCTGAATCCGCAACGCCAGACTTTATGGTGTACCGTGTACTAGAGTAACTGTGTTCTACCCACGAATCCTGAAGATTTGCTCCACACTGAATGCTTGTAAGACCACACAAAGGCACAAAGTGTGTCAAAAAAAGTGCAGCAAATTCAGTCATTTCCTAATCGACCTGGTCACAATCAATAAGATTTTGCCATGTTTACCATATTTCACCAATCCAGTTGGTCCTAGTTACTAGAGGGCAAATTTCTGAGTCTGACAATGAATTCAATATCAAGCAACAGAATCATGCTTAATGCACAGAATTGGAGAACGGGTCACAAAACGTGGACCATTCGTGGAGGAATAACTCATTGACAGGCACCAACTAACTAGGATTTGAGAAGAGATTCAATTAAAAAAAGAAAATTAGTTTAGTTGCAAGATTTTCTTGTCAACAACAAGTCCGTCCAGATAAGTTGTTTGGAGATTATCAGAAGAACGAAATCCCAATTGAGGAATGAGGAATACAATGCAAAAATAAAACTCCGAAAACACAACCGTCATGTGAAAACATCAACTTATGAACCCAGAAAGCGTTCAACTTACGGCCCTTTCCACCTGCCTCAAGGCAAGGCAATTGAAAAACTGAAATAGTAAATTGTATTAAAGAGAACAAATAACAAGTAATTAAAAAAATCTTGACCAAGTGTATATGAGCTAACTAAATAACTATTTGAGGCTTCTAAGAGCTACCAATTTTCTAAGGGCTGGGAATTCTAGCTTGATCCTTGACTGTACGTTTTTCTTTTTCTATGTTACAAAATGAACAAAAGCAGAGAACCAAAGCAGATACCAAATGAAGTTGACCACGATTATGACGATGAGGAGGAGATAAACTTTCAGGATGTGAGAGGTGGAGAGCACGCCAGAAATAGTTAGGTGAGATCGATATCAATGCGCTCAGGATTCCCTCTCTCACTCTGGTCGGCAACGAATTCTACGCCAAGCTGCCCCTTGTCCCCTGCACCAAACCCATATAGCTTCCCAGATTCTGTGAGTGCAAATGTGTGGGCATTCCAGTATATGGAATTGGTCAGGCTAATATGCACCACCCGTTCCTTGACCTGCTTCAGTGATGTCACAAGCTCTGGGCTCAACACATTTTGTCTTCCCTGTAATATAAGATAAAAATAAATCCAATCAATACATACATATATATATATATATATATTCATCATAACCAGAAAAACAGGGAGACGGAGAGAGTTAAAGACCAAATTCTGCACCTGTCCATCTGCTCCAATATTGTGTCCCAAACTGGATGATTCTCCGCACCCAAAAGAATAGACATCACCATCTTCAGACACCACAAAGGTTGTATAATCCCCTGTGGCAACATGGATGGCTTTAACCTTGCTCAAAGCTTCTACGACCTTAGGAAGTGATTCGCATTCTTCATTCCCATGACCCAGGCATCCAAAGCGCCCCCAACCCCAGGTGCAGACTCTTCCATCCCGTCCCACTACAGCCGCATGCCAGGCACCAGCAGCCACCTCCACTGGCTGAATATTCAAAGCCTGAAATTGTTCAATTAACCGTGGGTATCTCTCATCGGTTTTGGAACCATGTCCAAGCTTTCCACCCAAGCCGCACCCTACCGAGTACACAGACCTGATATGAGGCACAAAATAGGGTCACCCAATGAACTACCTAAAAACCAAATTGACATAGGATATTAGCTATATATAGCTAGTCTAGTCATGACTCATGCATGAGAGGGCTTACATGCCAGCAGGTTGAAAAGCCAGAGCAAGAAGGTAGCAGTACCCAGCTGCAATTTGCACCACAGGTACATTCTCTAGTGCGCCCAAAAGAGGACGAGGCTCCAAATCACTTGCCTCAGTTTGATGGCCAAGTTTGGCATCACTGCCCCAAGAAAATGTATAGACTTTGCCCTCTCTGGAAAGAACTGCAGTGAAGAAGTTTCCAATCGCAGCTTGAACAACAAAGACATTCTTCAAAGACTCAACAGGATGCGGAGTGGTAACAAATTCACTCCCTTGAACCCCATACAAAGCTTCCCCGAAGGAGTCCTTTCCAAAGGCATAAACCCGCCCAGCATCACTAATCAGCATTGTCCTGCCAGCTCCAGCTGTAGCTTGGATGATCCGAATGCCTTGCAGGAACCTGCACATCACTGATGAGACTCATTGAACGCTCTCTCTTAAACATTATTCCCTTTCAACAACAGATTTTAAGCAAATTGAAGCTTATCGACCTGATCTGGCGAGGACGCCATTCATCTTCCAAGGTGCCGTGTCCCAGCTGACCAGAGCTGTTACACCCAAATGAATAGACTGCTCCTTTTGATGTCACAGCAATGCTATGACCTGGACCTGCTATTGCAAGTGATTGCTCCCTCCTGCAACATGCTGCTTCTCCAGCCTGCAAAAACTCAAGGACCAGCTTCCATGAACCCCCGCACCTTTGTTTCAGACCTTCTCGTTCCTCCCCTGTCATCGGCTTAAAAATGGCTCTCTTCTGGCACATGTCCAGAGCAGCTAACTCCGTTATGGACAGTTCAAAATCGGGGGAGAAGTTTGCAGGCTGCCTGAAGAAGGAACATGTTGCCTGCAGGCAGCAACCACAGCAATTAAATTAAGCAGAGCATTATCGATTCTAATGTAAATGTATTGCTTCACCATCAACAGAACAGAGACAAGGAACTCGCCTCAAGTTTGGCAAGATCTCGAGGGTCCAACTTACAGTCCGTGAGGACATGGAGAACGATTGAGGGGTTTGCTGCCAAGGGGAACTCTCCAGGGTTTGATTCCCCGAAACAATGGCGTTGTTGGCGTTGAAATGTTGGTAGGGGAGAGACAACAAGAGCAGCAACAGGTTCGTCGACGATGTTACAATAATTTACCGAAGGGATTCCACACGCTGTGGCGTCCATGGGCACTGCCAAAGTTTGCAGTGCCCGAACTTGGCCAAGGAAGATCTCAACTGTTCAGAATTTCCCAAGAAGATCTGTATTACAATTATACTCTTTCATCTACCAGGATTATACCTTCTATCAAGTTCCTTGATCTTGATAGATCAACTACTAATTTCAGCGCTATGTTTTCTGCTGATCAACTAATTTCCCTTCTCAAACCTGTACAAAATAAAGAACAATGCTATGATCAACCATCTATAATATGCAAAAAGAGAGATAGAAAAGGAAGAAGATTTAAAGAGAGATTGAGATGAACTGATCAAAATCGCCATTCAAAAATTAATCTAAGTATCAAGCCAATCCGTTTTGAATAAATTACAACAAATCCACTCCAGGGGTTATACTTTGATTAAGAAAAACCCAACCCCCAAAAGGAAAAGAAAATCGCAAGTGCGGGGAAAACAATACAATCAGCCATAACAGCATATAAGATCGGATGAATCAGAGATAGGAATAAGAAGTGGAAGCAAGTGAGCAACATTGAATATAAATTGAATTCGAAAAAAGAATTAAAAAGGACAGAAATGCAACTGTAACTCAAAGAAACTCCAGAAGCGATCCTTAATAAAGATGATTTTTCTCGCCTTAGCATCGATGGTTGATAGTGCATGATTAGCCAAAACGCCACGGGGACAAGTCGGAGCAGCCAAATCAAGAAGAGGAAGAAAAGAAACCGAAAACCAGAATAAAATTGACACCAATACGCGAAAGAACGAGAATCGCACAGAGAGAGAAGGGCGAAAACGAGAAAAAAAAAAGTAGTAACCCTGAAAAAGGATATTCTGCAACTTAAAGGAGAACCAGGAAAAATAAAAGTAAAAAAAAAATGGTTTTTATTTTTTTTATTTTTGGGTTTTACAATTTATCATAAATTCCAGATTACCTGATTGAGAATACTAACACAAGTTGTTCAGATAAAAATCTGAGCCAGATTAAAAGCTTCAAAACAGAGGACTGTAAGTTATCACTTTGTAGATAGAAGAAAGATAACGAAAACCAAAAACATAGGGATTCCTTCACACGTCATAACCCAAACTCTAACAGAAATTTAAAACAACAAAAATTATACTCATTTCTAGCTTCAAAGGACCGACCCATCAGACGAAAAGATCAGAACAGTTAGCCGCCTGTTTCGCGATTGTTACGGATCAAGAATAAGAGGACTGGGAAATGAGAATTGCATTGCGGAGTCTAGTAATATTCCTGAAATTCCAACCGCATCTGCGAGTTCTCTGAATTTTGGTACTTATCCGGAAAGATAAAAAGATCAGATTTCAGGCTGGAACAAGAGAAGAGAAGGATGAGAACCTGATGAGAAAGACGTAAACCTCTTGAAGACTTGAACTTTGTCCTAAGAATTAATTATTCAGAAGTGATTTATAAAACGAATACCGATAGAGATTTGGAACGAAGATTAGGAGAGGAGAAAGCTATTTTTCCCCTTCTCTTCTCTTCTTCTTTCAGTTGCTTCTCTGTTCTTTTTCTATCTGTATGTGCTTTTGTGATGCGATGTCCCGAGCAGAGATGACGCAGACTCTTGTTTTCCCATGTATTTATAGGAATGCGTAAAAGCTAATGGTTTTGTGCCAACCCGACAATTAACTAGAGTGTATATTTCTTAAATACACCACTTATGGTTTAGGTAATTGATCAAGTATATCTCTACTACTACTACTGTTTGACTATCGTCGCTGTTGTTAAAATATTGATAAAAGGCTGAAATATCCTCATCTTGGTCTTTTCCGCTGAAGTCCTCATCGATCAAAAACACCGCCACCCTGCAACTTTCAGCGGTATCAATGATCTTCTTTCTCCACCCTCTTTCTCTCTTCGTTTTCCCTCTCCACCTCCCCTGTATACAATCCCATCTCAGGTTCCTTGATCTGAGATGAGATGGGCAGCTACGAAGGAGTTTGATCAGTAGCAGAGTGGATCTGACCGAGTAACAAGATGGTTCGGAGGGTTAGAGAGAATGGATTCGGATGAGCTTTGAATAGTGGCAGAACTAAGCGGATGTAGTTGCAGACTTGGACGGACGGACCACTGAACGGATTCGGAGGAGCTTTGAACAGTAGCAAATCTGAGCGGATATGATCGCAGACTTGGATGAACAGGACCCAGGGGGTAGAGAGAACGAAGGAGAAGAAGAAGGAGAGAGAGAGAGAGAGGATGGAGGTGGAGGGGTCCATTGCTGCTGCAACTCAGCGGTGATGGAACAGGGGAGAGAGGGAGAAAGAGAGAGAACGAAGGGGAGAGAGAGAGAGGTGAGAGGCAAAGAGTAACATCACGAAGGCAACCCTCTGCAATTCTTTCCTCGTCTCTCCATTTGTTTTCTGGAAAACAGTCCCTTCCACTTCCATATCCCATAACTCTGATTTCAGTCTCAAGAAGCCCAACTGTTTCTCTTGTAGATCTCTCGTTATCGAGACCGTAGAAAGCAATGTTGTAGAAGAACCCTAATCTGTTTTACGTCACTTGATTCTGCTTCGCCATGGCAATAGCTCTTTGGATGATCGTTCATTTCGAGGTATGGTATTCTTGCATTGATTCTATTTCTCTTAAACTGTGTCACAAGAATGGGGTTTTGAAGCTTGCTTGTACAAGCACGCCAAAAGATCTCTTCGTTTGTCTTCGAATGATGAATATCTTCTGCAAACGTGCTCTTGTAAACATACAGAGGGGAGATACTCAGGTTCCCATAGACCACATATTCCTAGCCACCGCTACTTACAGATATGCATGGAAAAGCTGAAGCATTTTTGTGGCATAGACGGGACAAATGAGAGAAGAAATGAGATAAAGCAAATAGAGACAAGAGGAATTCCAAAAAAAACGTCTACTAATGAATTTGGCTAATCTCTTTACTTTGATTCAGAGGGCCAAAGGAGAGGGTCGGAGGTGGAGGGGGCTATCGCAATCACTGGTTAAGGACGGAGCCAGTTAGATTTGTCGCTGCTGAAAGGAAGACTCTAAGGGTAAATTTGGATATTAAAAAATTATGTCACATATGTACAAGTACAAGTTTTGACGGAATATTAAAATTAGTCAATTGTAAAAAACAGTAGAAAGTTAAGAAAGGAATAAAATACAAAAACTTCCCAAAAAGTTTGTAACAATCATAAACATCTCCTCTATAGTTTTTTATGAGCGCGGATTTGGCCCAATAATATCGTGACATATACCACCTCAGAACAAACAGGTGATACTGGAACTATTTTAGCAACAATTTAACTTAGCCAAATTGATAGTATTGTTATGCACACACCATCGGGCAGCGCACTGCGGTGCAGTCATAGGCAGCAGCACGCACAGCGGGTCGCCCAGCAGCACGCACCGCCCGGCAGCGCCGCACAGCAACCCGACAGTGCACCGCATGCACCGCCTGGCAGCACGTAGCATGCACCGCTCGGCAGCGCGTCGCACGCACCGCATGGTACAGCACGTACCGCACGACAGCAGCACGCACCTTACGGCAGCAGCACTGCAAGACGCGCGCACCGGCCGGCAGCAGCAGTAGGGCGGGGCCCACATGACAGCTCATCAAGGTGGGCACACACTTATCTTACCACATCAGCTCTGCCGCCAACTCGCCGCCAGCTACACCATTCCTTATCCCTTATCCCTTATCTTATCTTATCCTTATCTTATCTTAAGTAAGAGTTGTGTACCATTAGGAGTAGGTAATTAGGAGTTTGAGTTCAAATTGGAGTTTGAGTTTAATTAGGAATTTTCTTCTGTAATCTCCTATTTAAGGAGTCACGAATTGAAATAAAGCATTCAGTTTTCGCAGTCAAGAAAGAGAGTGAGGAGAGTTCGGGTGATCTCTTGGAAAAATCACCCATTAGGAGAGTTCGGGTGATCTCTTGGACAAATCACACACGTGATTGCCACCATAGGGTCTATACGCAAGGGCAAGGGCAAGGGAAGACAGGAGTTTCTCCCGGTGGACCGACCCGTGATGCGATCCTACGCGCGGGCCCATAACATTTTGGTATCTGTTATGGGCCTGCGCATAGGATCTCGTCACGGGTCGGTCCACGATGAGAAAGCCCTGCTTCCCTTGCGTCTTCCCCTACGTGCAGACCCTATTGCGGAAACTGAATGGGTGATTTGTCCAAGAGACCACCCGAACTCTCCTAATGGGTGATTTGTCCAAAAGACCACCCGAACTCTCCTCACTCTTTTCTTGACTGGAAAACTAAATGCTTTACTTCAATTCGTAGCTCCTTAAGTAGGAGATTACAGAAGAGAATTCCTTGTTGGATTCAGTTAGGCTAGGGTGATCCAACTCAAACTAAAACTCCTAATTTCCTACTCAAACTAAAACTCATAACTCTTACTTAAGAAGATAAAATAAGATAAGGATAAGATAAGATAAGGGATAAGGRATAAGGTAAGCTGGCGGTGAGTTGGCTGGGCAGAACTGATGTGGTAAGATAAGTGTGGGCCCAGCCTGATGAGATTTCATGTGAGCCCTGCCCTACTGCTGCTGCTGGGCGTGCACACGTCTCGCGGTGCTGCTGCTGTGTAGTGCGTGCTGCGTGATGCCAGGCGGTGCGTGTTGCGCGTTACCGAGCGATGCGTGTTGCGTGCTGCCAGGCGGTGTGTGCGGTGTGCTGCCGGGCTGCTGGGCGGTGCGTGCTGCTGGGCGGCCCACTGTGCGTGCTGCTGCCTATGACTGCGCCGCAGTGTGCTGCCGGGCGGTGTGTCCATAACATCACACCCCTCCTGGACAACGAGCTTGTCCTCAAGCTCGAATTCCGAATACGTGGCTTGAAACTCTGTGAATGGATCAAACGGCTGCACACTATTTCTTAGTCCACCAACAGTATGAACAGGGACTTCCCCGTAGCTTAGTGCATAAAGCTGGATTATTTGATGCAGACCCCAGCCACCTTCTTTAGTTTCCAGCTCCCCGGCGTGACCATGGCTTACAGTGACTACACGATCTGCTGCACTCAGGCCAGCCGCAAGGACATTGAAGTGTTCCCCACCTCCTGGGTCATATAGTTTGAAGTAGTTTTGTGGAAGATCCACATAACAAAAATCGTGCACTGGGCCACGGCCCCAGTGTGCTATGTTGTGGATCACAAGAATGCACCGGGTATACTTACAGAAGGGAACCTCAAGAGCAGCCCTACCGAAGAGAACCATGCATTTTAAAATATCCTCTCGGCCTCCTCCATATATATTTTCCTCAATATTGCGAAACATAGGGCTGTCCATGAACACAAAATCCATGCCATTAATATAAGCTTGGAAGAAAGTTGCCTCCATATCCTGCCCATCCACCTTATATCTCGCGCACTCCTGTTTCTTGGGCTTCTGCATAGTTACCATGCCGTGGTGCCACAACCATAACTCTATGTCCACGCTGAGCCAAAGCCTTCGGTAAAGCCCTAGCAACATCGCCCAGCCCACCTGTCTTCGACCAAGGAGCGCATTTTGCAGATATAATGTTCGTGACATTGTCCCCGGCCAAAGGAGGAGACTTTACAGTTTCATCCTCCGTGTGCTGATCCTTGGAAATAACTGCGGCTGTAGGGGCAACGATCTGCTGTTCGCTGGATGCCTCTGCCCAGTCCGGACGGCGTCTGTTGGTGTTGGCGGTTCCCTCAGAACTCATTTCTTTGTTGGAGAGGAATGCTTCCAGCAGGCATCGCATCTCCCGAACATCTTCCCTGACTTCACGAACCTCCATGCTGGTTTCTGCTAGCCTATGTTCCAGTTCATTGACCTTGAATGATAGCTGCTCCATATCGCCCGTGACGTTTGGCTCTGATACCAAAATGTTATGGGTCTGCGCGTAGGATCTCGTCACGGGTCGGTCCATGATGAGAAAGCCCTACTTCCCTTGCGTCTTCCCCTGCGTGCAGACCCTATTGCGGAAACTGAATGGGTGATTTGTCCAAGAGACCACCCGAACTCTC